AAAGAGGGTGGTCTCAGAGGGATGTGTGACACTGATGAGTCTCAAAGGGGATGCAGGTTGAGCACGCTGAGATGCACTTGAGTCTTGGAGAAGGTACAGAGTTTCGGATGGGAAGAGGGCCTGAGCATAGGCCCAGGAGGAAGAAAGAACAGTTCCTGTGCTTAGTAAGGGGAGAGAATCCGAAGTCCAGATGGATGAAAACGTAGGAGAGGAAGGGCAATGAGGCCCAGGGTCCACCAGAGGCCAGGTCATGAAGAATCTCTCCTGCACGGAATTGCAGACTTTGAACCTGCTATCACTCTGGGTGCTAGGGAGTCATCAGATTTATGCTCTAAAATTACCCCCCAGCAGCCCCTGCCGAGCTGGATTCAAAGAGAGAGATGATGGCGAGGAGACCGTTTATAAGGCTATGCCGGCCCAGCCACAGTGGCACACATGTAGTGCCACTGTTTCAAGGCTGGAAGCCGGAGAGGCTCAGTTCCCAGGCCTGCTGGAACATCCAGGGTGTGGCTCCACATGCCTGTAATCCTAGCTAATAGGGAAGCTGGGGCAGGAAGATAGCGACATGGCAAGATCCTGTCAAAAATACCTTTCTCTGGCTGGGCTGTGTTGGCATAGGCCATATGAGAAGGTCCTAGCTTTGGATCCAGGTCTATCTGAGCGCACTGGGTGTGAAAGGCTGGTGGAAGGGGTGGGTCTCAGCAGGATGACACCCCTTTGAGGGTCCCTCCCTCTACTCTCCTCTCAAGAAAGAAAGGGGACCAGCAGATGATGTAACGGTTACATTACATGGACTCCCGCGGTTCAAGTCCCAGACGCGGCGGCTTGAAATTCACACTAGGTGTGTGTGCGGACATGCCCAAAATCCCAAGAAGAGAATAGAGAAGGAATTGCAACATGGCCATCCCCTCTAGAGGGTTATTTCTCACTTTCTGTCTCTCTGTCTCTTCGACAAGCACAGATGGCTTACAGCAAAAATCTCTTAAAAAAAAAGAAAAAAAGAAACTTAAAAAAAAAAACCTATCTCTTTCCTCCCACTCCCCATAAAGTGGATATAGAGAGAGAGGATATACAGCCATTCTGGTGTGAGATGACGGTGGCCTGAAATAAGGCAGGGGGGTAACGGGACAGACCCTACGGGGGGGGGGCTGAGGAAGCTAGATGAGCCGGGACAGACCCTACGGGGGGCTGAGGAAGCGAGATGAGCTGGCCAGGCTTGAGAACCACCGGGATGTGCAGAGTGGGGGAGGAGAGAATCTAGACTAACCCCAGTCTAACGCCTTTCATCCTATTAGACAGTGGTACCATTTACCAGAATAGGAGACCAGGTTTGGGGAGAGTGTGGGTTCAGTTTGTGTGTAGATTTGGCCACCCTGGGGACATCCAGGAAGTGGGAGGGTATGGAGATATGGTGAACTTGGAGTCATTAGGGAACAGATGGCAATCGAAACCAGGGGAATGGATGAGGTCAGTCTAGAAACCAAAAGAAAAAAAAAAAGAGTTTCAAGGAGGTGGGTGTTGACCACAATGTCCAAGATTGCAGAAGTGGCCAGGTGAAAGGAGGCCTGAGGAGCAACCGCATGTGACAAAGAGCAGCAAGGTGGTCAGTGGGGGCCTAATGAGAGGTGCTGCATGTGGGCGACATTCCACAACTTGACCCACATGGAAAGGTTCTGAGTTCACATCCAGAGACCCACCAGGCACACACATGCCCACGGTCCAGACTGGCTGAGACTGGGGATGGATCACAGCATCGAGACCCTATTGGGAGTGTCCCTCTGTCTCTCGCTCATGTAGGAAGTACATAAATAAATAAACGTAAAAACATGTTTGTTTGTTTGTTTTTTTGAGAGGTTTTCGCTATAGGGTGCGTGCACTGGCCAGACAGACAGAGAGAGACAGAGAGACAGAAAGCGAGAAATCACTCCCCAGAGGGGATGGCCACGCCGCAATCCCTTCTCCTCCACTCTCCTCTCGGGATCTTGGGCACGCATGCACATGCACCCGGTGTGAGTTTTAAGCCACCTGGTCCGGGACGCGAACCGCGGTCAACTACGTGGGAGTCCAGCGACATAGCCATTACGCTAACTGCTGGTCCCCATAAAACATGGTTTTAAAAAGGAGACACAGGGCAGAAGTAGTGGGAAATGAAGTAAGGAAGTGAGAAGTGAAAGTAGCAACTAGGGGTCAGCAGGTGGTGTGGTGGTCAAGGCACTGGACTCCCACGTAGCTGACCATGGTTCAAGACCATGGTTCAAGATCTGGCAGCTTGCCTTCTCACTTTCTCTCTTTGTCTCTCTCTGGTGGGTGTGCATGCCATATAGCAAGTTTTAAAAATGACAATAATAAATAAAATTAAAATAAATAATTCTTTATTTTTTCTTTTTTTGGAGAGGTTTTTGTTACAAGGTGCATGTGCTCGCCAGAAAGACAGAGAGACAGGGACCAGCAGTTAGCGTAATGGCTATGTCACTGGACTCCCA